CAATGCCAAGAGTGCCCTCACTCACCTGCGGGAGGCGCCGAGGACCTCCGGGCTGCTGACTCAGGCACTAGCCTCTTCCAACACCCTCAGGGGGCACTGGATGGTGGGGGGCCAAGGGCTGTGCCAGAGTGAGGCGTGTCCCCTTCTCACTGGCAGAGCTCACCCCGGGCGCCCCCAGCAGGCACACTCTGCCTTCTGAGGGTCATGCGGGCTCCTGGCCCTTCACCCAGACAGTGGCCAGGGCCACACAGGGCTCTTGGGTGGGTCTCCAAGACGACCTTTGAAGTGATCGTCTCCACCACTAGCAATCAGGGCTGCTGCCATTGACCGTGTGCTTGGCTATTCCTCGTGTGATCACTACAACTGCACTATGGCCATTTTCGGATAAGGAAACTGAGGCTCAGAGAGAAAGTGGCCTTCCCAAGGTCACAGAGTGAGTGAGGGAGCCAGATCTGGGTGCAGACAGCGAGGTCTGCTCCCCGTTCTCCATCACTAATCCTTGTGCTCCAGGCCCAGTTCCCCAACTGTGTCCACAGGGCCAGCTAAGGGCTCAGAATGGTGATGGTGACAGTTACTGACTCCCCAGGACAGATCCTAATTTCCTGTGACAGGATGGTGACAGGGACTATCTTCTGTGTCCTGAACTCCAGGCCCATCACACTCTGAAAGCAGATGCTCGGCCCCATAGGACCTGGCTGAGCACGTTCCAGGAAGTTCCACCATCTTGACTGCACTTGATTCTCTAGTCAAGAGCATCCTGCCTGGTCTTCTGTCACATCTCCCTTTCACCTTTTTAAGTTTCCATCCTAGTGGGCTCCTTGGGTTTATTTGACATTTGGCATTTATTGTGAGGGTTTTTTTTTTTTTTTTACATTCAATTTCTAGGCTATTTAACTGGACAGGTAAGAAGGTTTTCATTTATTTGGCTATTTGCCATCCTGAGCTCTTAGAAAGGGCAGCCCTGGGCTCCATGGCACTAAAGGCATGTAAGGATTGGGAACACTGAAGAGGGGAGTCCTGCATGGGAGGGGCCCAGAGAGAGAAAGTGGGCACAGGTGTTGCTGAGGGGTAGCCTGTCCCCAGAGACACCCAGGTCTGGGCCAGATGGGAGCACTCCACGTGATCTGAGAGGCGCCTCTACCAGAGAGTGGGCCTCGGATGAGCGGGGAACTGAGGATGGACCTGGAGAATGGCGGAGGCGTTGGGGTCCATGACCTGTGCTTCTCCAGGCTGCGGGAAAGCAGCCGTGTACATCGGGGGCTTTCCCTGCACTAACTCACTTCACTGTCGCCCTCCACTGATGGGAAGGCAGAAGCTCAGTGAGGACAGTTAACTTGTCCACAACTCCACATTCTGTAGCAAGTAGATGGCAGGTTTGGGTCTCAAAGTCGGCCTTTTCACTTGAAAGCCTTTACACACACACACGCACACACACGCACACACACACGCACGCACACACACGCACGCACACACACGGACACACACACGGACACACACACACATGCACACACACACGTAGCTGCTTCAGAAATGGCCTGGATGGGCCCAGTCAGCAGGTGGCCCTAGAGTCTCCCTCAGGGGATTCGGCTTCCCCGGCACCGCCTGTGCTGACCAAAGACTGACCAAGGACAGGGTTTGGTGTGTCACTGGGAAGCGTTAACCTGGGGCACGTGGAAGGCCCGGAATGGGAGGCGTGCGCGGTGTTCTGGTGCAGCTCCCGAGACCGTCCCACATCAGAGAGCCGGATGCTCCTTCCTGCTCGCAGCTTCCATCCCAGCGCATGGCACAGCGTTCAGCAGGGCGCCCTGGGCCCTTCCCCCGCCAGCTGTCTCTGCGCTGGCTCCTTCCAGACCACTCGCTTCCCCAGGGCAGGGCCGAGGCTCTTTGGCTTTGTGTTTTGTTTTGTTTTTGGCTCTTCTGTCCCAGCAAGGGGCTCGACAGCTTTTATGTGCTTTGTCAATGATCGCTGCACAAACACGTCCTTGATTTTCGTGGTCAGTCCTGACTTCAATGATCCTATCCTGCTCTACCCCAAATGGACTGAAACACCCGGGAGTCGGAACTACTGCATCTGGCAAACTGCCTGTCAGACTGGGAACGGCACTAAAATCTTTGTTAGCCAGTGTGTCTAGATTAGGGACAGACTGTCATCACCAAATCTACTACAGAGCAGGGCACAGGCGACCACTCCCTGGTCCCTGCCTGGCAGGGAGGGCCAGGCCCCTGGGACCTCAGGCCCTGGTTTCCATGGATGTGTCCCCTCACCATGCCATGAATCCTGGGTCATGTCATTCACTACAGAACAATGGGCCCCAGGTTTTCAGTTCAATACACTTGATCCTAACACCCCGAGTTCTGTGAGGATCGTCAAAAGCCACCACACCCCAGAGAAGAAAGGCCCTCAAAGCCACCACCTTCTCCGGGGAGGCACAGCTGCTCTGGCCACCGCCCGGCTGTCCGATGCTGTGGCCATCCCTGCTGGCATCTCCTGACTTTCATGTGATTGTTATTCCAGAGACAAGCCCTAGGAACCGGCCAAGGCAGAGGGGCCATTGAGGGCTCCAGCCCTCTCTGCCCACCCTCAGGCCCAGAGCTGTTCACTCGCGCCCCTTCCCCGGGAAGCAGCAACCAAGCCCACCCAGCTTTGCTCCGGCTTTCAACGCCACGAGAAGTCAGGGGTCGGCCCCACCAAGGGACAAAGAGGATGTTTCCAGTCCCAGTGCAGGCTGTGGGACAGCTTTGGACAGTTCCCCCTGGGGATAGGAGGAATCGTGAGGTCAGGGCCTGAACAGCCTGGTCACATCCGCGAGGCCCAGCCCTGCGGTTTGTGGCCCTGCTTACTGGGTCATGCTCCAGTTACCATCCCTCGGCCGCCGGGGACACTGCCCAGAAGCTGCATGAAGGAAGAGGGGGCTGAGGCCCGGGGGAGAGAGACTTACCCCTGGCCTGTCAAGGCCCCTGAGTGCCCTGCTCCTGTTGAGTGTTAATCACAGAAGTGCTGGCTGCTGGGGCTTTTCTATATATGCCTCTTTTGGACTTCAAAAATTGCTTTGTGAAGGTGAGATAATAAATTCTTTAGCAGGTTTGGATTTTGGATGAGGAGGAAAAGGGGTTGTAACATGGAAAACTCCAGTCTGAGGGGTTGGCAGTGCTGAGAGAAGGTTCGCCCCTCCTTGCCCAGCCCACTGGCCTGCGTCCCACCCATGTCGGTTCACTGGCAAAGGAACGATGCCTCTCTGTCAGTGACTTGTCACTACAGCTCACACTACAGCTAGCGGTGCTCCTGCGGTCCCACAGCAGCCGACCGGGATGGGGCAACCAAAGGTAAAAGTTCCTGTGGCCCTCAGCTGGGGATTCCAGGCCTGGACCCCACTTCCCACGCCTGACACTGGGCTCCTGGCTGGTCCATGCCCTTCAGCAGGGGTCCACGGTCCTCCCCACCCTCCCAGCACCCCACATACTCTCCCGTCATTGTTGTTTGCATGCACTCCTGGTGGCCGGCACAGGGGCAGGGCCTTTGTGGGCTCACTGTCTGTCCAGTTGCCTGCACACAGTAGGCCCAAGAAGGAATGACTTTCTCCAGTACTGAGGGTGTGGCAGAGGCTTCCAGAGCTCACGCCAATATAAGGGGTGGAGCTGGATTCTACCAATTCCAGCCAACCTCAGCGCCCAAGGCCAACCTACCGAGCCTTGGGCTTAGGAGGCATCAAGACCCCTGTGCAGGGCAGCTTCCTCCTCTTTTGGTTTTGTGACCGTGTGCCAAGTTAGCAATCAGGTCACGGCCACAGCCAGTCTTCCAGAATCCTCAAACCCAGACATGACAAAGGCCTGGGAGTGAGTGAACTTACAATGACAAACGGCTGCACATCTCAAACTGAGGACACAGGACTTTCTTAATGGCTCAGGAAAGCACCACTACTGCCCGCCAGGCTGCCGCATAACCCACCAGGTCTTTGGGACACTATGGACTTGCAAAACCCATCCTGAAGTGTCTTTTCCCTAGCCCGAGCACAGGAAGGAAAAGAGGTGGCAGGTTTCCAAGCAGACAGGAACACATGCTGGGAGACACAGCAGCTCAGGGCAGCGGTAGCCCCAGCGCCGGCGAGAACATGAGGGCTGCCGGGGACCCCAGAGCTGCTCAGCACACTGCAGGCTGGGCCAGGCTGGTGAGCCGAGCCACAGACACTGGAGCCCGGTGCACCGTCAAAGGAGGACACTGACCCTCAGGCAGGAGGGGTGGCTGGCCAAAAGACTAAGACAGCCTCATGGTCAAGAGGCCAGGCCTGGGAGCAGGCAGCCAGCTGTGCACTCGCCGTGAGCATCTCCAGGCTGGGGGAGGCATCACGAGTCCTCACTCCCGGGACCGGTTCCTGAGACAACTGACAGCAGTGCCACAAGAGACTCACTGAACAAAACTAAGGGCGAAGCGGCTGTGAGGTGACAGTTATGGCCCTGGGGTCCTCACAACTCCATGAGGAAGGTGCTTCCCAGATACCCCAACAGACACCCTGGTGGCCTGGGCGTGAGTGAGCTTACGATGACACATGGACACACACCTCAAGTTTAGGACGTGGAACCTTCGGTGCTCTCCCACAGAGCCACCTGGCTAGCTGGATTCCAGCTTTTAAGTGGCTCACCCAACAACAATGCCCCAACAAGTCACATCGGCTCCCTGGCTTTTGGCTGACACAGAGACACTGCTACCTGCTCATCTGAGTTGGAGCATCTGCATGTCACAGACAAGGATACTGAGACCCAGAGGGCTTGCTCAAGGTGACACACCAGGAAACAAGAGGGCTGAGGTTTCTGCTTGGCTCTATGCACAGGCCTGGCCTGCAAGCAAGACTATAGACCCCAAACTCATCTGAAGTCACTCCCTTGGCTTTCTGAGACCAGTCTCTCTGGAGTTTAGGGGCCTGAGAACCAGAAATCACTGGTCACAGCTCGCTAACCTCCCACCCAGGCCCAGCAATGGACCACCACGAAGGCCGACCCAGATAAACGATGGCAGGGCCAGAGGGACTTACGTGTCTGCGGAGCGGCGGTAGTTCTCAGGGCACTCGAAGGCCAGGCAGCGAAAGCCACCCTGGATGTTGAAGCAGGTCTCATTGATGGAGCAGTTGTGGATGCCAGTCACACACTCGTCAATGTCTGTGAGAGACCCAAAGGCAGCACAGTGAAGGCCAAGGCCACCGGAGTCATCTCCATCCACAGACAGAGGCACCAGTCCTCCCACCAATCGGGTCGGGGGCAGGGATCGGGCCATCCTTGCCCTCCACTGGCTGGTTTCTGGAGCAGCGCCCTGTGCCAGCTTTTATTTGTAAGATATTAGCATTTATAAGGTATTAACTTATGATTACAATCCCTGGAATGAGCGTAACCATGATAAAAGCAAACACTACCTGATGGGCCCTGGGAGCACTCAGCAGGGACAACTCACTTAATCGTCCTAACGATTCAATGAAGCAAGCACTGTCATGATCCTCGTTTTAGAGGGGCGCTCACAGAGCTTAAGGGACCTGCCAAGGCCACACATTTTGGAAGTGGCAGAGCTGAGCTTTGAACCCAGGCAGGATGGCAGTGGAGTCCATGCACTAACCACCCAGGACCTCTCCATGGCTCCCGAGGCATGTCACCCTTACCTCACACGTGACTTGTAACATCCTAGGAGGGAAGGAGCAGAAGCTACCAGCTCCATATTACAGTGAGGAAACCAGGATTAAAGAGTTATACATATTGCCCCATGTCCTGGGGTCAGTGCCTGTTTGGGCTGGACCAGAACCAGGCCTGGGATTCCAGAGTGGGGCCCAAGACACCATAATGAGAAGCCCCTGGAGAGGTAAGCCACCCCCTTCCCACAGACACTCTGGAGCAGCAGATGTCACCAGGCCTGGGAGGCACCCATTAAGAGGTGCCGAGTGCCTGATCCTCGGTGGCAAAAAAAACACTCCCCATCTCAAAGGCCACGGCTCAGGAATGTGTTTTGCTGTATCTGGGCAGGACCCCAGGCTGCGGTGAGGAAGCCTGGCCAGGAGAAGGCAAGTCATTTGCTCCGTCAGAAATGCGAAAACAAAGCAGCTTCCATCCAGAGCTCCGGACGGGCTGTGCGGGTCCCTCCCAGGAAATGCTGCAGCTCCTGCCTGCCTGGGGTCAGTCACCTCCTTCCTGACCAGAAACTACATCTGCAGAACCTGGGGCCTCCAGAGCCGCTGGACCCACAGCCCGTGAGGGGCTCACCAGGAAGGGGCTGGGCAGACCCCTCTGAGATGCAGCCACTGGGGCCATTCCTGGATGAGAGGCCAGTGTGTACACCCCAGAACCACTGGTTAACAAATATCTATTTAGCACCCTCTCAGGTATCGAGTGGACGGTCACAGGATGCATGGTGACCCCAGAGTGTTCTCGGAAACAGGGGATGGACACAGAGCAGATGCTGTGGACCCCATATCATTTAGCCCACCCTGAAGCCAACGGGCCCCAGCTGGACCCTCACAGTGTGAGTGTCCACAACTACGAGGACCTTAGGGCTATCCCCTTGCCTGGACCATGAGCAGCACCTCGGGACAGAGGCCCTGCCACCTGCTCACTGTTGTGACCCAGGGCCTGGCCCACAGCAAGGGCTCGTCCAATGACCGAATGAAAGACTGAACAGGCAGGCATTGTGCTGAGCATGGGGTCTTCTGGGGCCTGGTTTCCCCTTTCCTCCCCGGCAGGCATCTTCCCAAAGGCCGTCAGCCCTGTTCCAGTCTTCTCGGGGCTACTGAGGGCACAGGGAGGGCTCAGTGTTCCTGCCCGACGGAGCTTACCTGGGGCTCAGTCAGCCCTAAGGACAGGTGTGCTGGGGCCTGCGTGCTGTGGATGTGGAGGCCTCCCCTCCCAAACGCACCTCGTCTATGGTGTGGCCCCTGAGTCGAAGAACACAATCCCCCAGCCTGGCCTCAGCCCCCAACACTGCAGAGCCCCAAGCCTGGCCTGAGCGACCCCGGTGGTTTCTGCCCTGCTCACCTTGGCAGTTGCGGCCGTTGGGGGCCAGCCTGTAGCCGGATGAGGGGCAGGTGCACTGGAAGCTTCCAGGGATGTTGATGCAGCGGTAGGAACAGATGTGGCCCCCGGTGGGCAGGGCACACTCGTCAATGTCTGCAATGGCAAAGCCCACCTGAGCACCCTGGGTCCTGGCCCACGGCCGCAGCTGCTGGCCAGGCTCCGTCCCCTGGGGGGGCCTGGGAGGGCAGCAGGACAGGGAGGGCTGGACACAGGAGGCTTCGGAGACCATCAGGTCAGAAAAGGAAACAGGCCCGGAGAGGAATGGGACTAGCCTAGGGTCACACGGCAAGTTTATGGAGTGAAGTATGCATGTGGTGGGGCCCGGGTGTGAATGGAGAACAACGCGCTATAAAAATACACCTCACATGGAAATAGTGACGATCACAGCAACGGCTGCCTTTGAGCACCTGCGGGGAGCCAGGCACTGGGTGAAGTGCTTTCGAGAGATCTGGTTTAATCCTCCAACAACCTGGTGAGGCTGGGGCTGACCCCCCTGTTACAGAGGAGGACACGGTGGCCCAGGCCTGCTGAGGAGCTTTCAAAAGGCCAGAGGCGGAGCTGGGCGTCAGGGACGTGGGTGGTCCCTAAGCCCCTCCTCACCTCTCAGCCACCTGCTGCCACCATGCCCTGAGACGTGCAGCTCAGGGTCCCAGTACACTTGGCCATCGCCACCATGGCATGTTTATTAAAGAACAGTTCGGGAAGTGTTTTGAGCCCCTTCTGGCCTCGCTCTCCGTGACAGGTGAAGTGTACCCAAATAAACCTCAGTTGGATGGAAATCCACACACCACCCGCCAGCCTCAAAGGCAGAAATCAAAGGTTCTCCAGGTGAAGAAATTCCAGCAGGCCCTTTCCTCTGAAATACAGGGCCCGCAGCTGCCGTGTCGCCCCGTCGTGGTGAGGTGGGGGTGCTCTCCGCTCAGCTAGTGGGAGGGGGCGCGCTCACCTTCGCAGGTGACCCCGTCCACGTCACTGAGCTGGTAGCCACGCCGGCAGTAGCACTGGTAGGAGCCATAGACGTTGGCGCACTCCTGGCTGCAGGGGCTGCTGCTGCACTCATTTACATCTGAAAGAGAGAGGGTCCCTGAAGTCACCGTCAGAGCCACATCACATGTCCCTGCCTCCACAGCAGCCCTCATCCTGATGGCACTGGGAGCCAGCAAACAGACATCTCCTTTCCACCTCCCTCAAGTAACACACTTGGAGAGGCGGAGGTCCTGGGGTGTGGAGCTAGGGACCTGCCTGGGTCACCCTGAGAGAGAGGGCCCCCACTCCAGCCCCTCACAGCTGACAAATCTGGAATCTCTTCATCCCCGCCACTGCCTGTATCTCCTGCCAGGATGACAGCAACAGCCTCCAGTCTCAGCTCCCTCTAATGCAGCCCCCACCAGGGGGCCAGAGTCCATTCTAGTTCTCAAATGGAAATCCAATTCTGTCCTCCCTCCTTCACCTCCTAGATGACATCCTACAAAGATGATGGTACAAGGAAGGCCCTTGGTGACCCGGCCCATATGCCAATACTCCTAATACTCCAGTGCTCTGAACCCACTGCGCCACTCAGCAACTCTGGGCTATCACTCATCTAGAGGAGAAAAAAGACAGCAAACCATGGCCCACAGGCCAAATCTGGCCCACCACTTGTTTTTGCAAATAAAGTTTTATTGGAACACAGCCATGCTCACTCTTTTACCATGGTCTATGGCTGCTTTTGTACTACCACGGCAGAGTGGAGAAGTTGCAATAGAGACTGTGGCTGGCAAAGCCTGAAATATTTACCATGTGGCTTTTAGAGAAAAAACTTGCCACCCGCTGGCCTAGATGCCCCTTCTCACATTTATTTACTGCTACTTCCTAGCAGGACAGAAGGGAATGTCCATTAACCTCTCGCCCCGTGTTTCACCTCTGCGGCCCCTACACTCCTGGCCTGGCCTCCACCTGCTCACCTGCTCACCTCTGCCCAGTGTCATTTCTCATCACACCCTAGAGACTCTCCCTGACGCAGGAGCCGAGTTCTTGCTACACACTCGGGGCTGGTGCTTCATCAACGTTCAGTGGAGTCACATGGCCAGGCTGGTCAGGCACTGGTTCTGTGTCCACAACAGTGGCCACTAGTGTAGACATGAATACCTACTTTTCAGTCACTTAGTAGTGACCAGGGGAAGCACAAGCCAGAAATACTAACAACAACAACAACAACAGCAGTTTGCACAATGCCAGCTCTTCATCTCGTACCCGGTCCTGTGACAAACTCTTCCCACACTTCGTCTCATTCCATTTTCGTGACCCTGCCTGCAAGAGGTTGGTCCTACTATCCCTGTTTTACAGACGAGGACATTGAGGCCCAGAAACGTGGAGTCACTTTTTCAAGGCCATGAAAATGGCAGAACTGGGATCTGAACCCAGGTCTAAGTGACTCCCAACTCGTGAATCTAGTTCCTTGCCCATACACGCTTGTTGGGTCTGGTTCTCGGGGGCAAGTCGCAGAATACCTGGGAAGCCTAGCACCCAGGACCCCGCCACACCTTCCGTCCCCTAGTTTGAGAATTATTACACTGGAGCACACCCTGGAGTATCCAACTCCTGTGGCCATCTCATCAGTAAGGGCTCTTTCCTAATCCAGAACTTTAAGACCTGCCACATTTTGAGTCTGGCTCCAGAAGTTGCCCCCTGGGCCACTGCACTACACATAGCAGGGCACGGCGGACAATGTGACGGATGCCAAGGGCTTCTCAACTTTGCTGACCACGGAACCTGATCCCCAGATAGAACGTGACATCTGCTGAGCACCTATTGCGTGCCAAGCCCTGGGCTGAACGTGCTGTTCCAGTGATCCCAGCTCACTGCCAGCAGCCCGGGAGGCTGGCATTATCTGACAGCTGCAAGACTCTCAGCACAAAGACTGTCCAATGCCCACACACCAAGAGACTTGGCAAACTTTAGCATGGCTTCGACTGGCCCAAACCCATGTCTTTAGGATGAGGGTCCCGGCCCCCTTCAAACACCTGCCCGAGAAACCTCAGCGCTCCCAAAAGAATGTACTCTGTGTTCCAGCCAAAACCTGACCGCAGGCCCTGACCTCCTTTTTTCTTAGCAGCATTTACTTTAGAAAAATTTGCAAATGTAAATCATTTCTCCGTCTCTTTGAGATGCACATTCTGCAGCCCAGGAGTGTCTTTCTCAAGGACCTGGGAGCCATCCCATCATCAGGGATGCCAGGGCCCCATCTCCCAGGCTCTGCGGGAGGGTAGGTGCCTGCCTTTGATGAGGGCCAGTTGGCAGACACAGGTGGCCAAGTCACAGTGACCTTGCCTTAATGTCCTTGGCCACTTTCCTCTAGCACGTTCCAGCATTTAAAAAGCCTCCCGCCTTTTGCTCTGGAGGACTAGAGATCAACTTAGCCTGCAGCCTCTCTCCCTACCACAGTGGTCTGAATAAAATCTGCCATACTGCCTTTACACAAATGTCCAGCTTGTTTTGCTTTGACATATCAATCCCTTTCCCCCATGAGGACACTGATCAAGGTCAGTTGTCCCCAAGGTCACATAATTGGTGGGTCTTACGCCCCCAGATCCTGTGCTCATAGCCACATCCCACTGGCCTGGTCATGTCATCAGGAGAAGTTGGGGCAGGCAGGCGGTCCTCTCTGCCAAGCAACTTTTACCAGCATTTCCCCCAATAACATGCTAATTAGCGTGTGCTTTAACACAAACGCACATCAGCCCCACTGGGGTCTGTAGGAGCAGTGGCCGTCCTTGGAGGAAGGCAGTGTGGGGAGGGGGTGGATGAGGTCGCCGACCACCTGGCCCCCACCTTCACACGAGCGGCTGTCCACGGAGAGCCGGAAGCCCACGGAGCAGCTGCAGTGGTAGGAGCCCGGCGTATTCTCGCACTTGTGGCCACACAGGCGCCCAGGGTAGCGCTGGCACTCATTGATGTCTGCAACAGAGGGAGTCCAGTCAGGCAGGGTCCACCCGCAGCACTGCCCTCCTGCCCATGGCGGCAGCTCACAGCCTTCGTCCCTCACCTCCTTCCGCCTCGTTTCTCAGACGAGAGAGGCAAAGCGACTTGTCCCTAAGGCATGGCAGATCAGTGGGAGCTGGGACCACCCCTGCTGTGCCCACCCACTGGCCAAGCCTCACGCTCCTTCCGAACACGTGCCCTCCCGGTAGTCCTCTGCCCAGTGCCCACAAGGAGGGTCCACCAGGAATCTGGCCAGGAGGCCGGGGACAGCTGCCAGCCTCCCCTGAGCAGCTGGTTTGGTGATGGCAGGCGCTGGCCGGGCAGGGCCTGACTCCACTCCTGGCCGTCTCTGACTCTTGCTGACCTGGACTAACTGCACATTTCTGGCACTGTGGCCCTGCATGTCAGCGGTGCCTCACTAACACTGCGGGAAATCACTAACACTGCAGACTTGGGCTTGAGTCTCATACACACTTGGAGGTTTCACATCAAGCAGAGCACCTGTTCTACAGGTGGGGAACAGGCTCACATCTGGGAGGGGCTTGCCAGTGGCCACATGGCGTGGCAGTGGCAGAACTGGAGCTAGAACGGGGGTCTCCTGACCCGGGGGCTTCTCTCTGGGTCTGCCTGCACTTGGGATTTTCTTAGATGAGGACCATGGTCACTCCAGGTGCCACAGACAGTGTCCTCTCTGGTGCCACCTGATTGGGTCCCCCGAGGCCTGCAGGGATGCCCACGTACCCACGCATGTCCTGCTGATGCCATCGAAATAGTAACCAGGCTTGCATTCGCAGCGGAAGCTGCCTGGGGAGTTCACACAGCGATGTCCCGTCCCACAGGGCTCCGAGGGGGGCGAACACTCATCCACATCTTGCAAAGGAGAAACAAAGACACAATGAAAACCTTTAGTGTGGCTTTTTCCCTTAAGATAATCAGCAAGAATGGAGCATAGCAAGATGTGCGTGACAAAGCAGCGTCACCTCACCCTTCACAGACACCACGGATATCTGTGACATGCCGGCCCCAGGCTGGGGGACAGTGACCCAGGTGCAGCCCCTACCCACAGGAGACCTGCTCTGGCCAGCCAGCAATGGCCCTCGTTAAGGCAGAAAGCACCCAGTGACCCAGGGGAGACACTGAGAAAGTGTACTGGGAGTCATGGGGAGGAAGACTCCTTCCCTGGCCACGACCTGGGCAGGCCAGGTGCAGGGGGTCAGAGGGAATCATGTAAGAGCAAAAAGCCACACAGAGGGGACAGGGCAGCACTGGTGTGGGGAGTGGCAAGACCCATCTCAGCAAGTGTAAGGTTTGTGAAGTTGGGGCCAGCTCAGGAGGACTGAAATGTAAGCAGGGGCATCTGTCCTTTGTCACCAATGAGGAGCCGCTGAAGGGCTCTGGGGAGGGAGGAGTGAGAGAGATTTGGGAGCTGGACAAACTGGACAGACTGAAGGAGACCAGGCTGGAGGCGGTGGACGGGCTGGTGTTCTACTGCAATAGTCCAGGCGAGATGACAAAGGCCTGTGCCTGGGGACTGGCAGTGGGAGTGGCATTGCTTTGGGGACCAAGTCTCCCCTTCCAGAGGAGGAAAATTTCAGATTTTTTTTTTTAAATACCAACCCACACAGCGAGTTCCCTCCTCATTGAGATGGTAGCCACGGCCACAGTTGGGCACATTCTTCTGGCAAGCGTAAGAGCCCTCTGTATTGATGCATGTCTGCCCGACAGGGCACGGGGCACTGATACTTAAGCACTCATTGATATCTACAGAGGGGGAAGATGGAGACAACGTGGTTAGACGTGCGGGGTGTCCAAGATCCTGACAACCAGATCCCCAAAGGAGCCCCTTCCCCACTCTGCAAAACCACAAGCAGAGACACTGCGATCCTTTACCCTGGACCAAACAGCAGCCTCACAAATGGCTTCCAAATTTGCCAGCACACGTCGCCTCAAAATCCACCTCCCTGGTCCCTCTTTTTACCCGTAAACCAACTCCTCCACCTTTCACTGCACCAAATCCAAACCTGCCTGCCTGGTTTTGCTGTGTTTTGTCCACCACACAGGTAGACGGAGCACCTTCTCTGGGGTTGGTGCTAGGAGACAGAGGGGACCGTCCCCTCTGCACCAGCTCTCTGGCCCCTAGCAAGGCCCTAGGCTCCTCTGGTGACTGGCCAGGCCACGCCTGTCCCCCGAGCCCAACTTGGCCAGCCCTCTTCTGCAGCCCTCAGTGCTCACACCCTAACAACACACCTACAGCTCCTGCAGCGGCCATGCCGGGTCCCACCTCCAGGGACGCCCATCCCTCGCCTGCCTGACGTAGCCATGCCTCTGTGAGCACCACCTCCTCAGAGACACCTTCCTGCCATACCCCCATCTGGACTCTGCATGGTCTGGGCTGACTCAGGGCCAGCCTGGAAGGGCTGTGGCTTCCTGAGGTCACAGCCCAGCATTCCCCTTCCTCCACTGGACAGGCCTCCTATGTGGGGACCACAGGGCGTTCACCTTTGGTGAACACACAGTGAGGGAGTGTGAACCAGTAAATGACCAAGCAGAACCAGGTTACACATGGGTTTCCTCCTTCGGCTCAAACTTGGCGTGAAAATGCACAGATTGGACTTCCTACTAGAGGTAGTCTTTTAAAAGAATCTAAGTTTAAAATCGCTTTTGATTTGGTTGTGTATGTTACAAAAGAAAAAGAAATATCACCGTCTTAAGACACTTACAAAGCCTCTGGGGTGGGGGGACAAAGAGAAGGGAGCATTGCGGAGGGGTCCTGAGCTCAGGTCAGAAAGAGGCATCTCGGTACTTCCTGCCAGCCAAGCCCCACCGTCCTAGACAGCCAGATACACCAGCCCGACTCTCTCCCCGCCCTGGAGTGGGCCTTAGCACCACTTTACAGTTGACAAAAGCTTTCACGTCCATTGTCGCTGCCCTCAACCACCGCCCACCACGGCGAGCCTGCAAGCCCTGCCGGTGCTACGCTCTGCACTTTATAAGCAGGAAACCACAGTGCCCAGAGATTAAGTGGCTCCCAAGCTCACAGCTGGGGTCAGGGGCTGACCAGGTCCCATGTCTAGAACCAGGGTCTCCCGCCTCTCAGCCAGCACAAGGTCCCTTAAATCAGGGGTCAGCAAACTACGGCCTTTGGTCTAAATCCAGCCTGCTGCCTGCTTCTGCAAGTCAAGTTTTACTGGCACACAGGCAGGCCCACGCTGTAGCGTGTGGCCGATGGCTGCTTTCACGCTTCAACAGCAGAGTTGAGTGGTTGCAACAGAGACCGGGCGGCCTGAGAAGTTGATATCTGCTATCCAGCACTTTACAGAAAGAGCTGGCGGCCCCTGCCCACATCAAGAACAAATGCAGAGTTTAGCAAAGTGATCGCTGCTGTCTCCATAAGCCCTGCACCTCTGTCAGAGCCCCATTTCCCAAACTCTGTCCCATGGAACGATGGTGTCCCTTGAGACAACATGTGCTTGCAGAGAGGGGAGTACCCTCCACCAGGTTAAGGACCAGGCGGTCGTGGAATGAATGAATGAGGGAATTGGGAGAGTGAATAAAAAATAACAAATCAATACAAAAGCTCCAGTGAGTTTGGGAACACATTCTGCCATCTCCCCCTCTCAGGGGTTCGCATTGGAAGAGCCTGGCAGACCCCGCTGTCAGGGTCCCTGTTCACTGTTTCAGACGATGCTTCCTAGACTCAGTGGAACCCTTTACTGCATCAGGACCTGTGAACGTCCCAGCACCCGGGGACCAGCGTGTGGGAGGGAAGCCCTGCTCTGGCCCATCCATCCTCCCCACTGGAGCAGAAGGGAAGACAGTGGGGCAGAGGGAGGGCACTCGAAGAAAAAGAAATAAGAAAACTCAACAAAGATGCCATAGTCTCAAGGCCCTTAGTGTCCACACCTTAAAGTCCTGGAAAAGTCTACATTTTATAACAGGGAAAGAGGCCTCTGCTAAGGCCCTGACCCGTCCTGTGGGCATGGCACGGCCAGGGGAGGGTTGGAAGGACTCTTGGGGCCCTGGGAAGATGGGTTCTGGCTGCACACGGGGTCCACGCTTCCCACCACAGATCACGCTGTTTCAGCAGGAGTGAGGGTACCCTCAACAGAGGCGCGAGAGCAGAAGACCCTGGATCAGAGGATCAGGACCGGAGAGACGGCCTGCAACCATCTCCCATGGTGACACAAGGTCTCCTTAGAAAGAATTATTTCTGCAGGTGCACTCCTTGTTTTATAAAGATGACCTAAAGGTGCTGACCTAAAATGATTTCTAAATACCCTGTCAAGTGGGAAAACCAGCAAGTTGCCAAACATTCCATTCCCACTTTCATAAAAAATAAAAGGTCTTGAGGGCACAGAGCCCAGAAGGATGCACAGACTCTGCCCAGCTGGAGGCGGGACATGGCAGGGGAGAAGTGTCTGCTCTTGACACTTAGGTTTTGTTGGCTTCGTTGTAAAGAAAGATGTATATCACTTTTGAAATAAAAAGAGATAATTAAAAAAAGAAATGGAATCCTGGCTGTGGTTGCAGGGACTGGGAGCACACAAAAGTCCCCCCGCCCCCCGAGGATGCTGACCAGGGAGGCCGCGCAGAGCTGGACGTTTGGTTTCTGAGGCTGTCACTGAGGACCCAGAGATGTCACGGGAAAACCCACGTGCCACCAGGCTGGGCTTCAGCTAGCGTCCTGGGCTTCTGCAGGGTTTGGCCCACTCTCCCGGGCTCTCCCCGCAATCTAGGGGAGAACAGTGAGGCACAGTCCCTCTCTCCACTGCTCCTGTGCCTCAGCCCCTGCTCAGTGCTGCACCCTGTAGAGGGGGAACATCGGGGCTATGCTGAGACTTGCAAATGTTCCTTTGTGGGAACTGGGCTGCTTTTGCCATGACTCAGGGCTTCCATCCTCAACAGACACTAGCCTCCTCCGCAGAGCCCTCTAAACAGGTTGCAAGTCTGAGCAGGACCCCCCTTCCTCCTGCCCCTGGGGAGCCAGCCGCCTCCCCACTCACTGCCCTGTGCTGAGGGACAACTGGCCCGCTGGCAGGGGACTGGCAAGGGGCCAACTCGCAAGCCGAGCCCCACAGGATGAAAGGGGAGTTGTAAGGGGAGAAGGCTGGGGTGGGGTTCAGATGGGGCCCAGTCCTAAAGGGTCACTGTTCTACTTGTCTTTAAATAACCTGGGGTAGTAAAAAATGGGGGGGGGAGCTTTCAATCAAACCTACCATTTCTAGGAAATGATCAATACAGATCTATCTAAGAAAAAGTTGAGATAGAAATAAGACAAATTCACTGTCCTTTGCTCATGTAGTGCCAGCCTGTCAAGAGGAGGGGGATGTGGACGCCTCGGGTAGGGTGGGAGGCACCTCGTGTCAGCTGCAGTTCAGATCAGGAGAAAAGTCTCTCCAACCTCAAAGGCAGCATCTGGAAGTTTCTGCCGAGCAGAGGGTGAGGGAAGGCCGGCAGATCTGGACTGAGGTGCTGAACACAAACGGTGGCCAAGCCAGGTGGTCAACCTGGACGACTCCGGGGGAAGGCAAGGGCCACCTCCTGTCTTTCCAGAGCAGGCACCGCTCCCTGACCCTGCACCACGCTGCTCCTCCATTGTGAGCAGTCAGACCAGATCTGTTTTTACACTTGGTTCACATGGGATTTTCTCTCCTTTCACATTGGTCTTCTGATATCAACAAAGAGTTTGGTTTTCTTAAAAAATTGTGGTGACATATATGTAACATAAAATTTGCTCTCTTAACTGGTTTAAGAGTACAGCTCAACATTAAGTACATCCACGCTGCTGGGCAACCACCACCACTGTCCGTCTCCAGAAACTTTTCATCCTCCCAAACTGAAACTCCATACCCATGAAACGCTAACTGCCCCCTGCCCTCCCCCGAGCCCCTGGTAACCATCCTACTTTGTCTCTATGAACTCAACTACTTACAGAGTATTTTTTTTAAACAATTTTGTAACAGACTAAACAGCTGTGGCAGGAAACTACCATTCATTGAGTGCTTCCCACGTTCCAGGCATTTCGCAAGCACTCCCTTAATCCTTGCCTCGAGCCTATAAACCAGATACTATGATCGCTCCCATTTTACAGGGGAGGAAACTGAGGCTCAGAGGAAGTAAGGAAATTTTCTTAGGTCCCTCAGTTTAAAACCAGGTGTCTCTGACTCCAAAACCCAAGGTCTTTCATCCACGCCAAGGGTTGGCAAACTATGACCCTCAGGCCAAACCCAGCCTGCCACCTGTTTTTGTAAATAAAGTTTTATTGGAACATAGCCTTGCCTATTTGTTTATATATAGTTTGTGGCTTTCAAGCTACAACAGCACAGTTGAATAATTGCAACAGAGACCACGTAGCCCACAATGCCTAAAATATTTGCTATTTGGCCCTTCATGAGATAAAGCTCACCAATCCCTGCTCTGTACACTATGTGGCCCCTCGGATTCCAGAGGCGTGGCCTGCGGCTGGACCATTCGCCCGCCTGGAGCACCCCACTAGCCCTGGCGGCAGGCGTCTTACCAATACAGTTGCCTAGAGCATCTTGTATAAAGCCACTCTTGCACTGTAGCTTGGGTCTGCAGCGGAAGGATCCCAGAGTATTCTGACAGATAAAATCGGGGAGGCAGTTATGAATACCACTCTCACACTCGTCAATATCTGGTACATCATAAAAAAAGGAAATTGTTAGCAAGAGTCCTGACAGAAGCATCTTACAACACTTTACAATCACAAGAAAGTTTGTTTTAATGCTTATTACTCAAACTATAACCCCAAACATTCCAATAGAGAGGCCACGTACAAAAAGGGCTTTAACAAGCCAAATAGTGCTCAAGTTGCTGGATACTTAAAAATGTTGATTTTTCTTTTCCCCAAGACTCTTATGAGGCAAACTTTCTGTTTTAGAATAAATAACCCAGGCATTTTCCTGGCAGACATTATTATTATTTGTTTCAGGCTAAGTGTGTGTTTAATTTAGATCACAAGGCAATGATCCAAGTGGCAATAAACACAGTCTCCATAAACTTATTCATTCTGAAGTCTTCACGATATTCCAAATATTCACAATGGTTACTGCTGTGACAGGATGTAATGGGCTGTCCTCCCCTTGGAGTTCATGGCTGTCAAACGTTCAAATATGTATACTAGCCAGCTTGGCCACTGGGCTCTCGGGGTCCAAAGGCCCGCCAGCGTGCAGGGTGGAGGGGACTGCACTTACACAGTGGCCCTCGGAGGTCAGGAGGGTGGGCCCTGCTTTTGAGTCACCCTCATAGTTCAAGATCAACATTTTTATGCAAGTGTTTTTGTCCTTATGAAAGGCTTAAAACTCTGCAGAAAACTATGTTCTAAAAGATCCTCATCAGATCCTTATCTGCCAAATAACATTTATGGCTTGGCAGGGAAAAGCTGCAGCCAGAAATGTCATGTTTTTAGCAGCGGAAGGGGATATGCTTTGAACTTCAAGGAAGCCTGAAATCAGATGGCAGGCAGCTGTTGTGAAAAATAGTGGAATTTTTTTTTCTTTTTCTTTTTTTATTGTAGAAAGCACATATGAGCACCTAAAATTCATCCCTGATCTTGTTTTAAAATGATCGGGCACTGCACCTTTTCAGAAATCCATATTTGCCATCAACTCGGCACCAGAAGAAGGTACACAGAACTAGCCAGTACCGGTGCGCTACTGCCAACTTTTTAAACATCCGAACATGACTGCCAATACTTTCATTTTTCATCCCACTCACCCTTGACACCCCTGGTTATTGGTCACGCAGGTGTGACCTCCTCCCTCCTGCAGATGAGGAGGCTGTAGCCCAGGCAGCCACACGGGGGCGCCCACCACCAGAGCCCAGACCCAGGAGCCTCATGCCGCCCTCCCACCGCGCCATGTCCACACGTGAGGACAGGAGGATTTTAGACTCGGAGCATGTGCTGTACCTTTGCAGCTATTGTCCTCTGTGAGCTCATAACCAGTCCCGCAGCTGCTATCTCGCTGGCAGCGGAAAGAGCCCACTGTATTGATGCAGGATTCTCCAAGCCGGCAATTGTGGCTGCCCATGATACATTCATTGATATCTAGGAGCAACCAAGGCAACACAGGAGTGACCAACAAGAACTGATCCGCATGCTTTCTCAGAAGGAATGTACCAGAAGCCATGGTGGGACTGGTTCCCTATACTCGTCAAGTCACCCACTCAAACTGAGCTGAGCCCTGCCGTGTGCCCATCTGGAGCATGTGCTGGACTGGGGTCATGGGGACATGTCACCAAATCAGAAGCAATGATTCCCCGCCCTGCTATGTTTCAGATCCATTGCTCTTTCTGGGTAAGTGCCAATCCCTGCACAGGAGTATGTGATCCTTAAGAACCCCATAAGGGGCGCAGCATCTCCCTCATCTCCCAGATTAAGGGGCTGAGAAAGGCTGGGACAAACTCAAGGCCACTCAGCAGACCCTGGATCTGGACCCTGTTTGGACCCAAATCCAGTCCTCTTTCCCAGCCCCAGTGTTTATGTTCTGGATGGGGGTCCTATCTGGGAGCCGTGGAGCTGCAAACTTGAGGGAGCACCAGAAAGCCAGTCCTGGGCTGCTCTCCACCCCAAATGGGCCCCAGGGTGTGCAAGGCAGGCCCTGCTCAGACCCAAAGCACACGCTCCTGCACCCAGTGACACGCAGGTCCTGCTGGCAACCGGGAGGGAGACGTTACCTTCGCAGGAGACACCGTCGGCCAGCAGTTGGTAGCCCACGAAGCACGAGCAGACCACCTTGTCCCCCGTGTCGCGGCACTGCTGTTTGCAGGGCCCGCCGCCTGTAATCAGAGCAGACGTGAGGGTGCGTGCAGCCCAGAGACCTTTGCTTTCTAGGTCTGTTCAGACTGGGTCAGAGAAAATGCCCACTGTGTAGACTGACTCAAGAAGGCAGGTTCCCGGCTGGAGCCCACCCACGGGAGACCCCAGCCATGGACTGACCAATGCGGTGGTGTGCAGGGCAGCCTCTGAAGGTTACAGTGGGGCTGGAAGGGGCGAGGCAGAAAGAGTGGCCACCTGCTGCCAGCCACAGACCCCGCAGGAGCAGGCCCAGAACGGGCCCCACCCGCCCCCACATAACTCTCAAACCCCATTCCCATCTCTGCTGCCTCA